GATGATTAGTCTGGATATTCACACAATCATACACTCACACAACCACCATCACATGTGTCCGACTGTGTCAGGATATAATAATCAGGAATTCGTCGTGTGCAGAGTAACAGTACACCGTTCTAAAACTCGTTCAGTAGTCCTCATTATGCATCATATTATGTCAGTATTGTTCTGTGCTTCCAGTAAATATACAATATAATTTATCAGCCTTAATCACATTGGTCAGATGGATTTGACGCTCTGTTCTAAGGAGAGTCAGGGAGCTGCATTTGTTTTATAGATACAGTGATGTGTTTATTTCTGTCGTCTTGCACCTCTGGCTAGACATCACACATGTTTTTAACACGTTTAGATGCCAATCAGATAGTGTTAATAAATATGTATTAAAGGATCTCCTTTTCTGTTGGAGTTGTCTTTGTGGATGACATGATTTTACGCTGCCACGACTATAAAAAACAACTTTACTTTTGGCTAAGGAAGTTGCTGTTAATATTAATGTAGACTAGATGGAATCTCCCTCTTTCTCTCTCTCTCAAACCTAAATCACAGTTTTATGTGTGTGTGTGTGTGTGTGTGTGTGTGTGTGTGTGTGTGTGTGCGCACGCGCGTTTGTGTATGCGTGGGCAGATGGGGAGGGCCGGGCAGAGCAGGGCAGGCAGCCAACACGTTCTTGACCTAAAATAAACGCAAGGGTTCGGTATTGCCATTCCGGGAGTTGTCTTTCCTGTACTCATAATGGTAAATCAGATCCCTCGTGGTAGATTTCCTTTACGAACACAATATAGTCAAGGAGGTTAAAAAACCTATGTTAGGATATATATAAAGATTATATATATCTGCCTTGTTTACCTAACACCACCGCAACTTGTGATGACCAAGTTGGGGGCAGGAAGCCGGTGGCCTGTGTAAGATCCTCCCCTCCGTTGCTCTTAATAGTCTTGTTCAGGGTATGTTTACTCTCCTATATGCACAGACAGACACAGACGCATTCCACAACTGCATAAATGTGATGGGAAATTACTCTGGAACTGAACAAAATGTCAAGTGGGACGAATTAAAAAATTTGAGAGTCGAGATGAAGCAGTTTTAATGGAATACTGGGTAGTCTGCTTCGAACCCGGGGCAGCCTCACTCCACCCAGCTGAGGAGGAGTACCGGTACCAAATTTTACTTTTGGGGGGAAAGTGTGTGGTCAAGTGCAGTACCAACCACAGTGCATCCTTGTGTGCCGAGAGCTTAATCTTCTGTGTACTGTAACCGCAGCGCCCATATTGGGCTGTCAGTAGTTGAGGCTGAACCTCAATTACTGTATCGTGAACTACACATAGGGGAGGGTGAACCACTGTTGTGTTCCCTCATTTAAACAGTAGAAGTGTCATGTAAACAACAGAAGTCATGTAAACAGTAAAAGTGTCATGTAAACAACAGAAATGTCATATAAACAGTAAAATGTCATGTAAACAGTTCAGGATATGAATTATTTCTCCGTATGTGTGTGTGTGTGTGTGTATGTGTCTGTCATCACCAACGTCAGTCATCACCCAACTCAGTCATCACCCACATCAGTCTTCACCCAACTCAGTCATCACCAATCAGTCATCACCCATCACCCATTAGTTATCACCCACCAGTCATCATCCACATCAGTCTTCATCCAACTCAGTCATCACTAATTAGTCATCATCCATCAGTCATCACCCATTAGTCATCAACCACATCAGTCTTCACCCAACTCAGTCATCACCAATCAGTCATCACCCATCACCCATTAGTTATCACCCACCAGTCATCATCCACGTCAGACTTCACCCAACTCAGTCATCACCAATCAGTCATCACCCATCACCCATTAGTTATCACCCACCAGTCATCATCCACATCAGCCTTCACCCAACTCAGTCATCACCAATCAGTCATCACCCATCAGTCATCAACCACGTCAGTCATCACCCATTAGGCATCACCCACGTTAGTTTTCACCCAACTCAGTCATCACCCACGTCAGTCTTCACCCAACTCAGTCATCACCCACGTCAGTGATCACCTATCAGTCATCACCCATTAGTCATCAACCAGCAGTCATCACCCACGTCAGTCTTCACCTTACTCAGTCGTCACCAATCAGTCATCACCCAACTTAGTCTGATCACCCACATCAGTCACCACCCAACTCAGTCATCACCCATTAGTCATCCACGTCAGTCTTCACACAACTCAGTCACCCCCAATCAGTCATCACCCATTAGTCATCACCCACGTCAGTCATCACCCACGTCAGTCATCACCCAACTCAGTCATCACCAATTAATCACCCATTAGTCATCACCCACGTCAGTCTTCACCCAATTCAGTCATCACTTATAGATAAATCAATACTCAAAATTATACAAAATACCAATTTCTCCCCGACCCTTATGTCGTATGTTTTCTCACCACTACCCATCTGCCAACCTTCCTAACTCATAAGCTTGACTGTGCTCATGACAGCTTTGGCAAATCTCATCTCGTTAACCTTGTGGCGTATCAAAAGCTTCTAACAAGATCTTTCATCTCACTCCCTTTGCCAAATTTGTATATCCGGGTCTCACGGATTCTTTATTATTCAGTGAAGCATCTCATTCTTCTCAAACCATCAGAGTTGAACAGTTGTGACCGGTAAATCTCTCAATTTTTTTTCCATCGGTACTGGAGTTCTTCAAGGTTCAGTTCTTGTTCCAACTATTCCATACTCCACGTTGTTAATTTCCTTTCCATTGCCTCCAACAGCAAAAGTTCCATTATTGATAAAAAGTAGCACTGTAAAGTTTCCCAGCTGATCACCCAGATACATCATAACCCCGATGAAAGTAGACCAACACTCCATAGCTCAGTGGACAGGCACGTTCAACCCCCACGACACAAACACTAACTCTCTATTACAAACAAAGATAATTTTAAACAATGGATTTAATAAGAATAACATTCTTATCATTCCCATCATCTCTGTTAATATTCCGTCTTAATATAACTAATAAGCTCTCCTGGAGTCACCACAGGTCTAACACTGCAGGGAAATTTTTTTCTCGAGTTATTCCACATTTTACTTCTAAATTACTTCTTACCATTACAACAACCAAGTCAATTCTCATACGAATTACTAATATTCTCACGGACAGGATCAAGCACCACAAAGCCACATTCTGAAACTATTCACTCCTTCTCTTCCTGATTACCCCCTCCCCCCCCCTTCCATATCAGAGAATATACTATGCATGTGTTTATTTCCAGATTTTTACCAGCAATTCTATGGTCATTGTGACAATCAAATCCAGTCCATCATTCCCTCTCCTTTCAAACCCAGTCGCAACACCTGACCATTTACTATCATACCATCCTCGTTACTCCACACAAGTTCCACATAGTCGAAGTTCATCATCACAGTCCTCATCATTCTAATATTTTCCAACCACATACATGTAACAACTCTTTAAGTGGAAGATATACACCACATCCTTATCTCACAGCTAAATATACAAGTCTTATCATTTCTGTATTGGAAAACCCAGCTTGTAAATAGTCCAAAATAAGTTGTGACACTTCGCATTCCTGCTGCATGGTTATATCTTTATAAGATTAGTTGTGATGAGGTACAACTCTACTGGGTGTGATGGTGTACAACTCTACTGGGTGTGATGGTGTATAACTCTACTGGGTGTGATGGTGTACAACTCTACTGGGTGTGATGGCGTATAACTCTACTGGGTGTGATGGTGTACAACTCTACTGGGTGTGATGGTGTACAACTCTACTGGGTGTGATGGTGTGAACTAAAAGTGATAATGGTGGAGCAGTACTAGACAAAGGCGCGACCTAGTTATGGGAGTACAGTAGTGTGTGTCTGTACCGTATATTAGGTACACTTGGTGGGACGGTACACTATGTGGGACGGTACACTAAGTGGAATGGTAAACTAGAAGGGGCGGGGGTGGAATAGACAAGATAAATGGAGGGGTTAAAATGTAGTAGTAAATGTGATATGGAAGAGACGTGAAGGTGAACTAGATATGGTGGTAGTTTGGGGGTGGGCTAAATGTGGAGTTATGAGCCAGGAGAGGGGGTGGGAGGGTAGGAGGCAGGTGGGGGGAGCTTGGCAAGAGGCCGTTGCTTGAGCCCGCAAGTGCTTTCTCTGTGACTCATTGACACATTCTTTCAACGTTGATTAAATAGTTGGTTAAGGTTAACTGAGGATCATAATGTGGTTAATTGTGTTATGTTATATATTGTAGAGACAGAGATAACATTAATATATACATTATCTTCTTTATGCCCGGTCTCTCCATCTTCCATTATACAACGCTTCTCTGTCTTCTCTCACAGGTCTTCCATTGTCTATTTCCTTATATTCATTATCATATTTTGTTATCATTATTAGTACTATATTAATTTTCGTTAATCATGCAGAATTGAGACAGGGTTGGAACTGACAATAACAGGTTTGTATATAAGTAAAAAGGCCCCGTAAACCTGCATTGGCCAGTAAGGATACATCTCGCTATAGAATACATCTTTTTTGTGTGCTCTATGAAGCAGCGTGGCCAGCACTGCAATCGACTGCCTACACTTTCCCAACTACAAAATTAGGCACCTATTCACAGCTGGGTAACTCTGTGTGCCCTGGACGCGAACGACGACCCTAAGGTCAGAATATGAGTAAACGGGAGAAGCGTTGAAGCGTGAATAATAATTATAACTAGAGTAATTAAAATTTATTATTATATATATTATTTTTACTATTGCAATTGTTACTATTACTATTATTACATTATTATTATTATTATTATTATTAATAGTGTTACATTATTGTTATTATTATTATTATTATTATTATTATTATTATTATTATTATTATTATTATTATTATTATTATTACTGTTATAATAATAAAAAAATAATAATAATAACAATTATTATTATTACCTGGTGTTGTGGGTCACGACTAACCTTGGAGTCTCTACTTGCAGGACAAGATCCGTCTGCTTATGGAAGACATCGAGTACGAGAGGGAGCTCAGGCAGAGGGTGAGTACTTCGAGTGTTTGTTAGTACTCAGCCACCTGTCACTGTTGCTAGTACTCAACCACCTGTCACTGTTGTTAGTACTCAACCACCTGTCACTGTTGTTAGTACTCAACCACCTGTCACTGTTGTTAGTACTCAACCACCTGTCACTGTTGTTAGTACTCAGGGCAGGATAGGATAAGTTAGGGTGTTCAATCATCATGTGAGCAGATCTTGACGGCCTAATCTTCAGGCCAACGGTCGTTCTTTCAATAACACCCAGTGAAGGTATGTGTCGCTGTCCTCACCAGACAACTCTCACTCACCAGACAACTCGCTCACTCACCAGACAACTCTCTCACTCACCAGACAACTCGCTCACTCACCAGACAACTCGCTCACTCACCAGACAACTCGCTCACTCACCAGACAACTCGCTCCTCACAGACAACTCGCTCACTCACCAGACAACTCTCTCACTCACCAGACAACTCGCTCACTCACAGACAACTCCTCACTCACCAGACAACTCTCTCTCACTCACAGACAACTCTCTCGGACTCACTCACCAGACAACTCGCTCACTCACTCACCAGACAACTCTCTCACTCACCAGACAACTCGACAACTCGCTCACTCACCAGACAACTCTCTCAAGACAACTCTCACTCACCAGACAACTCGCTCACTCACCAGCACATTCCTACACCTCGTTGCAGCTCCATAAACGACCCCGTTGTTAGCCAAGAGTCTTAAGTATGTCTCATGTGCTGTTGTTGGTGCATATACCTGTGTCCATTGTGATGTCTTTACTAACACACACACACACACACACACACACACACACACACACACACACACACACACACACACACACACACACACACACACACACACACACACACACACACACACACACACACACACACACACACACACACACACACACACACACACACACACACACACACACACACACACACACACCATATATTTAGTATGATAATAGGGAACAAGACAACATAATATGATACAGGTATAGTGAACCTTACAAACAGTGTTAAGTTAATCTACCGAGTGAGTTTGATGTACCATAATGTGATGTGTTGTTGATGGTGTAAAGTAAAGTGGTGGTGGTGGTGGTGGGTGGTGACAGGTGGTGGTAGGTGGTGACAGGTGGTAGGTGGTGACAGGTGGTGACAGGTGGTGGTGGTAGGTGGTGACAGGTGGGTGGTGGTGGGTGGTGACAGGTGACAGGTGGTGGTGGTGGATGAGCAGGGTAGGTGGTGACAGGTGGGTGGTGAGGTGGTGACAGGTAGTGGTGGTAGGTGGTGACAGGTGGTGGTACAGGGTGTGGTGGTGACAGGTGGTGGTGATAGGTGGTGACAGGTGGTGGGTGGTAGGTGGTGACAGGTGGTGGTGGTAGGTGGTGACAGGTGGTGACAGGTGGTGTTGACAGGTAGTGTAAGGTGGTGGTGGCAGATGGTATAAGGTGGTGGCAGGTGGTGTAAGATGGTGTATGGAGGTGGTGACACAAAGTTAAAGCTGTGGACGTGATTGAGGACGGAGGAGCCATCTTGAGCTATGGGCGCACCCGGTGTCGCCAGCTGGCACCAAGCCTCACAGCTGGTAAGGACCAGTTAGCACTAGCCATTATAGGCCTCATAGCTGGTATGATACAGCTGGCACTGGCCTCTGAAGGAATCATAGCTGGCACTAACGTCAATAATAAACAGCTGGTACTGACACCAATAAGCCTTACAGCTGGTACTGACACCAATAAGCCTTACAGCTGGTACTGACACCAATAAGTCGTACAGTTGATAAGAAACAAATCAGAAAATTTAGAGAAATGTTTTGAAGTATTAATTTACGCTAAGAAAGACCACAAGTGTTACAGGGTGTGGCAGGATAAGGTGTGGTGATACAGGGTGTGGCAGGATAAGGTGTGGTGATATAGGGTGTGGCAGGATAAGGTGTGGTGTTACAGGGTGTGGCAGTATAAGGTGTGGTGATACAGGGTGTGGCAGGATAAAGTGTGGTGATACAGGGTGTGGAAGGATAAGGTGTGATGATACAGGGTGTGGCAGGATAAGATGTGGTGTTACAGGGTGTGGAAGGATAAGGTGTGATGATACAGGGTGTGGCAGGATAAGGTGTGGTGATACAGGGTGTGGCAGGATAAGGTGTGACGATACAGGGTGTGGCAGGATAAGGTGTGGTGATACAGGGTGTGGCAGGATAAGGTGTGGTGATACAGGGTGTGGCAGTATAAGGTGCGGCGATACAGGGTGTGGCAGTATAAGGTGTGACGATACAGGGTGTGGTAGGATAATTTACGGATATCAAAGTATAATTTCAGGATTAAGCTTTCAGTCGTTTAGTTTGATTTTACATACAAGTTATTATATTCTTCTTCGTCTCGACAGGTTGAACGAGAGAAGGCTGACCTCAGTGTTCAGGTGATTCAACTCTCTGAACGTATCGAAGAGGTAGAAGCTGGCGCCGATGGTCAGGTAAGAACTCAGTGTGTCTTTATTGAGGCAGATTACATGAATGAGGATTATTTTATTTATGAATTGTGTCTGAAGTTCGCTACAACAAATTATATTCACTGTTGACATACTTTCCTAATACTTTTCTTACTGCTGACCTACTTTCTTAACACCTTAACTCACTACTGACCTATTTTCTTAACACCTTGCTCACTACTGACCTACTTTCTTAACACCTTAACTCACTACTGACCTACTTTCTTAACACCTTAACTCACTACTGACCTACTTTCTTAACACCTTAACTCACTACTGACCTATTTTCTTAACACCTTACTTACTACTGACCTTCCTATATAGATTACTAGTTTTTTTAAAGGTAATTGTTACAGCACTCACCATATCTGTCCAACAGGATGCAGTATGTCTGCTATAATAATCACCAATCTGATTCCTTGCCAATCTTGTATGGAGTCCCCCAAGGTTCCATTCTCGGTCCAGTACTGTTTTTGTTGTACATAAACGACATAGTCCAAGCCAGCTCACTCATAAAATACAACTTATTTGCAGTTGATAGTAATCTCTATGCCAGCAACTCAGACCTTCATTCCTTGATGAGAACTATGAACACTGAATTAACTAAAGTCAGGAGTTGGGTAATACGTAATAAACTGACCTTAAACCTTGAGAAAACCCACTACACGATCTTTCACAGAAGGAAAAACTTACCCCCAGATTTGGACCCCCTGTACCTTGGTAGTACAGTCCTCAAACGCGAACAAAATACTAAATTCCTCGGAGTTATTGTTGATGAGAAACTTAACTGGAGAAACCACATACAAGCCATTCACAGTAAAGTCAATAAACAGTGTGGTATCATGTATCACACTCGACAGTCAGTCACTCACTCTCACAGCAATGAAAGAAATCTATCATGATCTTGTCTACCAACACCTGATACACTGTCACACACTATGGAGTGCCTCTGGCTCTTCAAAAACACAATCTCTGGTTACTGCATAAAAGAGAGTTGTATGGACAATGACCTACGTGAAAAAAACAGATCACACAAACTAGAAATTTGCTATATTGAAAATTTTAAAATTCGAAGATATTAACACCTACTGCTGTGCCCTCTTTGTTTACAAATCTATCAATCACTTGCTTGACAATAATTATTTCCGGTTCCGGAATAATAAGAGATACAACTTGAGGCACCCAGAGCTACTAAGACCGCCCCCTATGCGCTCCTCTCAGTTCCAGACCTCCATAAAATATCACGGTGTGAAGGTGTGGAACAACTTACCCCCACCCATTCGAGCAAAGACTACGCTCCCTTCCTTTAAATCAACTCTTAAAAAATATCTGCCTAAGTATTAATATTTCTTGTAACACCTACTATATTTACAGTACCTGTTTTTATTGTACCATCAAAACCGTTGCACTGCTCCCCCATTCTACTTATGTTTTTCAATTCCACTGTAATTTATGTAAAAAAAAAAAAAATAAAATAAAATATAAATTAATAAATATTGAAGTGATAACCATGGTAACATTATGAGATGTACTTATTACCACCATGCTATTGTACTATTCCAGATGATACTAAATGTTACATAATACTTCCTTGAGATAAATGTATAGTATATATCAGGTGCCTATAAGAGAGCTCAGGTTGTCAACTGGCTCAGCCATGTTAATATTGTTATTATTATCCACTCTGTATCTGTGTTTTTCTGGCTAAATAAACTGTTACAATTCAATTCAATTCAATCTGTATATAGTATTTTTGATGGGGGTTTCCACATCTAATGGATCCTTGATATAAAGAACTTTCATCTCTATATAGCTCGTTAGATGGAGGTTTCACATCTAATCTATTTCCTAGTTCATATCTTGTTATCAATGGTGAGTTGCCCTATACACTAGTGGTCTGCGTCTGGACGGAGGGAAGGAGTGAAAGCCTTCTCTCTCTCCCTTGACAACGTAATGACCATGTAACTCCTCCTGTGTTGACGTGAGAACAACAAGTTTTTATGAGACACAGATAACTTCTTCGGATATAAAAGTTGTATTGGATAAGCTGGGATTTATTTTTGTGCGAATAAACTGAAGTCAAACAAATATTTTGTATTGGAACATCAGAAATAAGCACAACTAAATTAAATTATTCCCTGTTGTGTTTCTTTAGTGTTTTTGCTATGGGATATTTGTAAGGGGAATCAACAACAAGACTATAGTTACCTCTCATTTGGAACCGGTGGCCTTCGTCTCCCTCAGTATACCTTGTCATAACGACTGAAACTGGAGAGAAAAGTCGAGAGAAAGAGATATAAACTTATCTAGCCCTCTCCCTCCCCCTCGCCTGTGGCATATGACCTAAGCTGTTGCGCCGCCAGGGATGTTATTACCACAATCAATCAGTCTACCCCCCCCCCCCTCCTCTCAGGCAGTTCAGTTGAATTAAAGAAATGTTGCCGACAGGTTGAGATCAACAAGAAGCGGGACGCGGAGCTGGCCAAGTTGCGTAAGCTGTTGGAGGATGTGCATCTGGAGAGCGAGCAGACCCATCACATGCTCAAGAAGAAACACCAGGAGGCCGTCGTGGACTTCCAGGACCAGATCGACATTCTTACAAAGTCCAAATACAAGTGAGTATTTGTGACTCATTCAATCCAAAACACGTCAGTCTTTATTCCTCATTATACCCAGAATGAAAAGGTCACCTGGAGCCTCGCAAAATTTAAACCAACAGAGTAACACATCTATCTCATCAGGTCCAGGGCCAAGATCCTGAATTGGGATACACTGGCCCTAAGATTTGACGAGGTTTCATTGGCCAATCTTAAGACCAAGTGAGAAGCTCTGCCTTTACCAGGTTTAGGTGACTAGCTGCCACCCCAATAGGTTCAAGACAACAGTAGGTGACTAGCTCTTACTTGAGGGCCAGGTGACTAGCTCCTACTTGAGGGCCAGGTAACTATCTCCTACTTGAGGGCCAGGTAACTATCTCCTACTTGAGGGCAGAGTAACTATCTCTCTTACTTGAGGGCCAGGTAACTATCTCCTACTTGAGGAACCTTCAACTATCTACGACTTGAGGGCCGGGTAACTATCTCCTACTTGAGGGAGCCAGCTAACTATCTCTCTCTCTCTGGAAAGCTTGAGGCCAGGTAACTATCCTCTACTTGAGGGCCAGGCCAACTCTCTCTTGCTTGAGGGCCAGGTAACTATCTCCTACTTGAAGACGGGTAACTATCTCTTACTTGAGGGGCCAGGTAACTATCTCCTACTTGAGGGGCCAGGTAACTATCTCCTACTTGAGGGCCAGGTAACTATCTCCTACTTGAGGGCTAGGTGGCTAGCTCCTGCCAGGTGGCTAGCTCCTACTTGAGGGCCAGGTAACTATCTCCTACTTGAGGGCCAGGTAACTCTCTCCTGCTTGAGGGCCAGATAACTAGCTCCTACTTGAAGGCCAGGTACTTCTGCTTAGGCCAGGTAACTATCTCCTACTTGAGGCTAGGTCTAGCTGCCAGGTGGCTAGCTCCACTTGAGGGCCAGATAACTAGCTCCTACTTGAAGGCCAGGTGACTAGTTCGTATATCAGTAGATTCAGAAGAGTAAAGTAATAATGTTTTGTAAACATTAAATAAGACTGTGAAAGTATATTGAAGCATCATGAATGTACTTATTATAATTATATGTATAACTAATAGTCAATAATACCCAGCCTCCAAATGAGCTTGATTGGTCTGGGGATGATAGTGATTAATGGTTGAAGGAGACAGGTAAAGGCAGGTAGAGTCAATAAGGTTTGTTGTTGTCTCACAGGGTGGACAAGGAGAAGGCTAAGTTCCAACAGGAATCCTACGAACTGACGGAACAGCTGGAGAAAGTGACGCTAGAGTCGGCCAGTTACCACAAGAGCATCAAGAGTCTCAACATCACCATCCAGGAAATGAACATTAGGATTGAGGAACTGAACCGCACCATCGTCGACATTACTTCCTCCAAGCAGCGCCTCAGTGTGGTGCGTGTGCGTGTGTGTGTGTGTGTGTGTGTGTGTGTGCGTGCGTGCGTGTGTGTGTGTGTGTGCGTGCGTGCGTGTGTGTGTGTGTGTGTGTGTGTGTAGCCAATGAACTCTACAATAGTTGGTGGTGGGAAGCAGAAGTAAGTAAGCAGTTAACACTCTCAGGGTTTGGTTGGTGTACACAAGAGAGATGTGCAGCAGGTGAGTTCTGTGTGTGGCTACTGATGGTTGAAGGCTGAGCAGTACGTGAGAGTGGGTAAATATCACGTCAAAGATGAGTAGTGGAGCAAGGTAGGTGGCGAGGAGGAGGGTACAGTACACCTCATGTATGGGTGAGAATGATGAGGACAGGCAGTAGTGTTGTTGTGAGTCACTGATGATTGATGTTCGGGCAACTACATATTTGTTGTTCTGATCTGGCAATAAACTTTATAATTTAAAACTGTGTAAGTCTTATGTTTGTCATACATAACATTTGTAGACATAAAACCCACGACTTGTGTATAACAACCACACCTTGTGTGTATAACACCCACACCTTGTGTGTATAACACCCACACCTTGTGTATAACATCCACATCTTGTGTGTAACACCCTCGCCTTGTGCATAACACTCACACATTGTGTGTAACACTCACACCTTGTGTGTAACACTCACACCTTGTGTGTAACACCCACACCTTGTGTTTAACTCCCACACCTTGTGTATAACTCCCACACCTTGTGTATAACTCCCACACCTTGTGTATAACATCCACATCTTGTGTGTAACACCCTCGCCTTGTGCATAACACTCACACATTGTGTGTAACACCCACACCTTGTGTGTAACACCCACACCTTGTGTTTAACTCCCACACCTTGTGTATAACTCCCACACCTTGTGTATAACTCCCACACCTTGTGTATAACTCCTACACCTTGTGTATAACACCCCCCTGTGTATAACACCCACACCTTGTGTATAAGACGGTGTGACAGTAACACCCACCATGCCAACACTACTGTGCTGTAACTTATTATAACAGCGTCTAACACGAACTTGACCTCTGCAGGAGAATGTGGAACTGACCAAGTCTGTGCAGGAGCTGAAGGTGAAGATTGAAGAAGTGAACTACTCCCTCAAGTCCAGCGGCAACTCCCTCGAGGAGTACAGGAGGAGGTTCGATGTTGAGGAAGCGGTGAGTTGTAGCGGAGTATTGTAGGAGATAAGGGGAGAGGAGGAGGAGGCCAATTAGGAGAGTGATGGAGACAGAGAAGGAATAAGAGAATAAAGTAGAAGAGGAAGAATGCAAGGGTTGGGAAAATGATGAGGGGAAAGAAAAACGAGTTAAGGGATAAGGAGGAAGAAGAATAGGAAGAAAAAATCACATAAAACAAGAACGTAAGATTACTGGGATTAGTTAGGAAGTGGAGTGAATATTAGTTATGCTACAATACAAAGACCCAGCACAGTCATGTATCCTATACTTGTCTGTCATTTTCGTGTGCTAATATGCATGGTTTTCACAGCGCCGCCGTAAACTGGAGAGCGAGATCCACTCCCTCAACAACGAGCTCAATGCCCTCAAGAGGTCCTACGAAGAGGAGTGTGAGCTGCGCATTGACATCGAACGCAAGTTGAGCAGTGAGTCAGCTCTTACCCTACAGTACAAGAGCAAATACGAAATGGAGTGTCGCATTCACCTGGAAGAAGTTGAAGAGATCAAGTAAGTGAAGGAGGCCTCCATCACCATAGGGAACTACTAGTTTAACTCCTTCACTACGGGGACGCCACTAACCCCTTCACTACGGAGACGCCACTAACCCCTTCACTACGGGGACTCCAATAACCCCTTCACTACGGGGACTCCACTAACCCCTTCACTACGGGGACGCCACTAACCCCTTCACTACGGGGACCCACTAACCCCTTCCGGGGACTCCACTAACCCACTTACGGGGACTCCACTAACCCCTTCACTACGGGGACTCCACTAACCCCTTCACTACGGGGGACTCCACTAACCCCTTCACTACGGGGACTCCACTAACCCCTTCACTACGGGGACTCCACTAACCCCTTCACTACGGGGACTCCACTAACCCCTTCACTACGGGGACTCCACTAACCCCTTCACTACGGGGACGCCACTAACCCCTTCAATACGGGGACGCCACTAACCCCTTCACTACGGGGACGCCACTAACCCCTTCAATACGGGGACTCCACTAACCCCTTCACTACGGGGACGCCACTAACCCCTTCAATACGGGGACAGGGACGCCACTTTTAATGTTCTATTTGACTAACACCAGACGATTTCATTCAGCTCAGTGGCGACCCCGTACACATGGAGTTAATATTACTAGTAAATACGAAGATATTTATTGTTTACATAAAATATTCGTAAACTGTTGATGACGATGACAAACAAAACCACGAAAAGAGTAGGTACAGTAAAGTAGCACCGAACACCTAACTATATATCGGGTAAATCAATGTAAACAACAATCAGTTAAGAGCGCCGGTGTCGTTTGAGAGCTATTTACTTGAGCTTACTCATGGCAATTATCTCTTATTTAACTAATAATGTCCTCGTAACAGGGGATGATGGTGACAGGTGTCTAGTTCCACTGTTTGTGCAGTTCTACACGCCACCGTGCGTTAAGTGCTGCGTGATTATTTTCAAGGAATTAACCAGTTACAAAGACGAGCTGTGGTAGTTCACGTCCAGTTATTGTGATAGACGTGAATCAATACTAGATATAATTTTCGAGAATTTGACGAGGTTTTCTTAGAAAATGCCATTATTTACGACCAAACCAAACTTAAGATACCCAGATTATTTCCTAAAAAAGTAATTACCATAGTTAGTTACTATTTGGGCCAACTAGTTACGTATCCCTTGAACACCTCTCTCGTGTCTCTGGGGCATTCGTACAATTTCCTGTTGAACCTTATTTTCCCAGCAACCATTTTGTACACCCCACGTAACATCCCCGTTTTACAGCCAGTTCAAAAAGTATAGTGACCCCAGACGTACAAAAGAATATGAAACATCAGACGAAGACTAACACACCCCAACCCAACTGATACATGAACGCCTCTGAGGTTATCGCTTGATTTCTATAACATCGGTCCCCGGGGTCTCGATACTTTTTGGATTGGCTATACACCCCACATAACAACCTTGACATTAACTTTTTATATCATAATAACTCCTTTGCTCATCCAACGCAATGAATTCATTCTACAGGTCATTGTTTGCACATTGTTACGACATAAGTGTTCTATTATTCATTGACACTAGTCCATTAATCACCGATGTGTTCTTTATAACGAAGGTTGACTCTCAGTGTACACCTTTACAACTCCTTTCACGCCCTCTGTGTCACGTATATCTGCCGTTAACACCTGCTGTGTATTACATATCTTCCGTTATCACCCACGGTGCCCCATACGCCTCCCGTTATCACCCACTGTGCCCCATACACTTCCCGTTATCACCCACTGTGCCCCATACACTTCCCGTTATCACCCACTGTGCCCCATACACTTCCCGTTATCACCCAATGTGCCCCATACACTTCCCGTTATCACCCACTGTGCCCCATACACTTCCCGTTATCACCCATTGTGGCCCATAAAACAGGCGCAGTGCTCTACAGTGTCTACACGTGACCGGTAACGCCGCCGTTGTTGTATTACAGGAAGAAGATGCACGTGAGGATCGTCGAGTTGGAGGAACACTGCAGCAGCCTCAGCCAGAAGGTCTCCGCCCTCGAGAAGCAGAAGAGCCGGCTCTCACAGGAGATTGAGATCATGATTCTCGACTTGGAGAAGGTAAGTGTAGTGGAGACCAGAATGGAGATTAAGGAGGGGTGAAACAAAGAAGTGGAGACCAGATAAAGGAGACTAGACTCCAAAAGAGTGGAGATCAGGGACAGAATATCAAAAAGGGAGGATGGAGACCTAAAACATACAGGCCAGGGAGAGGAAATCAAGGAGGAGAAACTGGAGACAGGAGAGGTCTACAGACTATATTGGAGACTGGAGGGGAAGAGAGGGAGGGGTGTGGAGACATAGGGAGGCTATGGAGAGGACTGGAGACCAGGGGAGGAAGGTTATGAGCGGATTGGAGACCAGGGTATGGAAGGGAGGAGTTATGGACCACCAGGGGATGATAGATAGGGGTTTGGGACCACTAGGGGATGATAGGTAAGGGTCTGGTACCACCAGGGGATGATGGGTAGGGGTGGGACCACTTGGGGATGATAGGTAGGAGTTTGGGACCACCAGGGGATGATAGGTAGGGGTTTGGGACCAGGGGATGATAGGTAGAGGTTTGGGACCAGGGGATGGTAGGGAGGGGTGGGACCACTAGGGGATGATAGGTAGGGGTGGGACCACTAGGGGATGATAGGTAGGGGTTTGGGATCAACAGATGTGATAGTGATTATGAAACAGGTAAATGTCAGGCAAGATAGATGTGTTACAAGATTCTAGACAAAAATATGTAAATGATAAAAAGTTTTTCAGTATTCGAATAATTATAAAACCTCATCACAATGTATAGTTTCCTGTTATACAGTTTGAAAAAAAATAAAACCGAGTAAAAAATTAGAGAAAATATGGAAAATACAGTTTCAATAATATTTCGTATGAGATAATGTCACATATATATAGAATATATTAGATATATAACTTATAATTCCTGTAATCGTTAAATGGTTTTGTATTCATAATTCTAAGATATAGTTGTAGAGAATTTATCAGGAGCTTCAATTGACGATGTCCTATGAATAGCGCGAATTTCTGAAAGTGAGGTCACCGAGTATATAATTCATTTGTTAATTATTAAATCTCTAAAGGAATTCGGTAATATACAAGTTTCATTTGGATTGTATGTTAATGGATACTTGACCTCTTACACACGAGCGTTTTTTTTTCTTGCGCGACAAGAACTGCTCGTGCGACAGAGTCCTTCGTTCACACTTAAGTAAGATTTTGTAAGAGCATCCACTGTAATGTAACACTTAAGAAAATTGTTGTGTGAATTGTGTTGTACTGAGTGTGTGTTTGTGTCACCAGGCTAATGCAAACCACCGTGAATGCAAGACCCGACTTGAGACTGTTGACCGTGAGTACAAGACACTGTTGGTGAAGTACGAGGAACTCAACATGCTGTACGAACAGACAAGCAAGGACCTCAAGGTGCGTGTGGCTGAGTACAACAAGGTGACCAACGAACTGGAGCACGTCAAGGATGTCTTCGAGAAGATCTCCATCGACTACAAGAAGATCAGCAGTAAGATAAACATTTTCTCTTAATTCAGTATTTGTAGTCTTATACAAGTTGACTCTCGAGTTATCGTGGTGACTTATACTGAACTTCAGGCCCACAGACAATGATGTAAAATTCTCATCAGTTTCACAGGTACAAAACCATAATCTACATATAAATTCTTTTCGACTCGTGTCACACCTTTATGAATCATCTTCCAAAATTTTTTTCTCTTCTCTACAATAGTTTTTTTTTCCTTCGTTAAGCAGACTTAGTGTTATATGCGAGTGTATACCAGTCCTCCTTGAACTATTAATAATTGCCCTTCGTGTCTATCGATCACGTATACCAGCCATGTAGACACTACTTGCTCTTTAAATTTTACATTGGAAAACATCTATCCACACTACTCACCCTCCCACCTGCCCCCAGTATAACTCTGTCTGAATGTTTGTAGCCTGTATAACATCTATTTCCAGTAATGATTATTAATTGCTTACTGTTTTACTTACAAAGGTTATTTCAGCAACTATTTCATATACTTTATAGTGAAACCTCAATATAACGGACTGCTCTCTCCATATATTCCGTTAGATGACGACTTCACATCTAATGGGCCCTCGATATAACGGAATTTACTCACCATATATCCCGTTAAATATAACTTTCACTGTATCTGTGTCATGATAACAAATTTGTCATTACACTGTATTCCTCCGCCAGCCGAGAATGGTGACCTCAAGGCTTCCGTGGGTGACCTGGGCCGCATCAAGCACGACCTCGAACTGGAGATCCGTCGCTTGGAGGCCGAGAGGAACGAACTGGCCAACGCCTTGCATGAATCTGACTCTGTAAGTACTTAATGTTGCACCAATTTATAATATGACTAAAGTACGACAAAATAAACCTTTTGGGGATCAATAAAGCATCAAATGACTAACGAAAAGGTTCCATTCCTAAAAAACAAAAAACAAACAGGTCCTTCATAAATCTCGTATAATAATGTCTTTGAAAACGTCATACGTCATGTACGAATGGGTTTAATTCAAGAAGGAACCATTTCGTAAATAGGTTCTTCGTATATCGAGGATGATCACATTTTCCAAAACTAGTACTATAAACCAAAAACAAGTTATAATGCGTCATGAACATTACTTTCCTATGGTCATCAAACACACTAATTAAAATTATTATTAAAAACGAATTACTACCTCCGTATAGACCTTCACCTGGTCCTTACCTCACCTGTCCATACTTCACCTGTCCATACTTCACCTGGTCCACACCTCACCTGGTCCATACCATATCTGATTCTAACCTCACCTGGGTCATGCTCCAGTACACTAATTGGTGACCCTTGCCCCCACAGGCTCGTAAGGAGGAAGAACATCGCTTCATCAAGATTAGCAACGAGTACCAGAGCTACAGGGTTGAGATTGAGAAGAGACTACACATCCGCGAAGAGGAGCTCGAGTCGGTCCGGTGAGTACTGCTCTTACTCTACCTGTTGTTACTTGTGACGAGATTACCTGGTACCTGTATTACCTGGTACCTGTATTACCTGGTACCTGTATTACCTGGTACCTGTATTACCTGGTACCTGTATTACCTGGTACCTGTATTACCTGGTACCTGTATTACCTGGTACCTGTATTACCTGGTGACTGTACTACGAGGTCCTTGTATTACCTGGTACCTGTATTACCTGGTACCTGTATTACCTGGTACCTGTATTACCTGGTACCTGTATTACCTGGTACCTGTATTACTTGGTACCTGTATTACCTGGTACCTGTATTACCTGGTATCTGTATTACCTGGTACCTGTATTACCTGGTACCTGTATTACCTGGTACCTGTATTACCTGGTACCTGTATTACTTGGTACCTGTATTACCTGGTACCTGTATTACCTGGTACCTGTATTACCTGGTACCTGTATTACTTGGTACCTGTATTACTTGGTACCTGTATTACCTGGTATCTGTATTACCTGGTACCTGTATTACCTGGTATCTGTATTACCTGGTACCTGTATTACCTGGTACCTGTATTACTTGGTACCTGTATTACCTGGTACCTGTATTACTTGGTACCTGTATTACTTGGTACCTGTATTACCTGGTACCTGTATTACCTGGTACCTGTATTACCTGGTACCTGTATTACCTGGTACCTGTATTACCTGGTACCTGTATTACTTGGTACCTGTATTACTTGGTACCTGTATTACCTGGTACCTGTATTACTTGGTACCTGTATTACTTGGTACCTGTATTACCTGGTACCTGCATTACCTGGTACCTGTATTACCTGGTACCTGCATTACCTGGTACCTGCATTACCTGGTACCTGTATTACCTGGTACCTGTATTACCTGGTACCTGTATTACCTGGTACCTGTATTACCTGGTACCTGTATTACCTGGTACCTGTATTACCAGGTACCTGTATTACCTGGTACCTGTATTACCTGGTACTTATTGAAATGAAAATGTGAAAGTTATACTAAACAAACCCATAAAATACAATAAAAATAATTTATATGAAAAATATATTAATCTAACATTAAAACAATTATATAAATATGAGTTGAACTTTTTGTGACCCGAGGAGGTGAGGTTGGGTTGGGTTGAGGTTGGGTTGGGTTATGTGAGGTTGGGTTATGTGAGGTTGGGTTATGTGAGGTTGGGTTATGTGAGGTTGGGTTGGGTGAGGTTGGGTTGGGTGAGATTGGGTTGGGTTGGGTTGGGTTATGAGATGGTTAGGTTAGGTTATAATAAGGCAGGATAGGTTAGGTTAGGTTATAATGCAAGGAGGGAGCTATTGGTGTGACAACTACTGGTCAGATTAAGACACAGTTAATTTATCTCCTTAAACAACTGTACTGCCGGTCTTCTGTTGTGGCCCGCCATAGTGTTTACTTAGCTAGTTTATATTACTTAATGGTTAGCCAAAGATGGAGAGGATTATGGCTGTGCACACACACACACTCACACACACACTCACACACACACACGTTAATGTTTATAATGTTACTGCCTCATCTTTAAACCTCAAACACTACACATACAAGTATAGAGTACAAGGTGTAGAGTACAGAGTACAAGATGTAGAGTATAGAGTACAAGATGTAGAGTATAGAGTACAAGATGTAGAGTATAGAGTACAAGATGTAGAGTATAGAGTACAAGATGTAGAGTATAGAGTACAAGATGTAGAGTATAGAGTACAAGATGTAGAGTATAGAGTACAAGATGTAGAGTATAGAGTACAAGGTGTAGAGTACAGAGTACAAGATGTAGAGTATAGAGTACAAGATGTAGAGTATAGAGTACAAGATGTAGAGTATAGAGTACAAGATGTAGAGTATAGAGTACAAGGTGCAGAGTACAGAGTACAAGATGTAGAGTATAGAGTACAAGATGTAGAGTATAGAGTACAAGATGTAGAGTATAGAGTACAAGATGTAGAGTATAGAGTACAAGATGTAGAGTATAGAGTACAAGATGTAGAGTATAGAGTACAAGATGTAGAGTATAGAGTACAAGGTGTAGAGTACAGAGTACAAGATGTAGAGTATAGAGTACAAGATGTAGAGTATAGAGTACAAGATGTAGAGTATAGAGTACAAGATGTAGAGTATAGAGTACAAGATGTAGAGTATAGAGTACAAGATGGAGAGTATAGAGTACAAGGTGCAGAGTACAGAGTACAAGATGTAGAGTATAGAGTACAAGATGTAGAGTATAGAGTACAAGATGTAGAGTATAGAGTACAAGGTGTAGAGTATAGAGTACAAGATGTAGAGTATAGAGTACAAGATGTAGAGTATAGAGTACAAGATGTAGAGTATAGAGTACAAGATGTAGAGTATAGAGTACAAGATGTAGAGTATAGAGTACAAGATGTAGAGTATAGAGTACAAGATGTAGAGTATAGAGTACAAGATGTAGAGTATAGAGTACAAGGTGTAGAGTACAGAGTACAAGGTGTAGAGTACAGAGTACAAGATGTAGAGTATAGAGTACAAGATGTAGAGTATTGAGTACAAGATGTAGAGTATAGAGTACAAGATGTAGAGTATAGAGTACAAGGTGTAGAGTACAGAGTACAAGATGTAGAGTATAGAGTACAAGATGTAGAGTATAGAGTACAAGATGTAGAGTATAGAGTACAAGATGTAGAGTATAGAGTACAAGATGGAGAGTATAGAGTACAAGGTGCAGAGTACAGAGTACAAGGTGCAGAGTACAGAGTACAAGATGTAGAGTATAGAGTACAAGATGTAGAGTATAGAGTACAAGATGTAGAGTATAGAGTACAAGATGTAGAGTATAAGGAGTACAAGATGGAGCATAGAGTACAAGATGGAGATAGAGCAAGACAGAGTATAGAGTACAAGATGCAGAGTATAGAGTACAAGATGGGAGAGAGAGAGAGTATAAGGTGTAGGAAAGGAGTACAAGATGTAGAGTACAAGATGTAGAGTATAGAGTACAAGATGTGAGTATAGAGTACATGTAGAGTATAGAGTACAAGATGTAGAGTATAGAGTACAAGAGAGAGTATAGAGTATATGTAGAGTATGAGTATGATGGAGGCAGAGCACAAGATGTAGAGTATAGAGTACAAGATGGAGTATAGAGTACAAGATGTAGAGTATAGAGTACAAGATGTAGAGTATAGAGTACAAGATGTAGAGTATAGAGTACAAGATGTAGAGTATAGAGTACAAGATGTAGAGTATAGAGTACAAGATGTAGAGTATAGAGTACAAAATGTAGAGTATAGAGTACAAGGTGCAGAGTACAGAGTACAAGATGTAGAGTATAGAGTACAAGATGCAGAGTATAGAGTACAAGATGTAGAGTATAGAGTACAAGATGTAGAGTATAGAGTACAAGATGTAAAGTAGAGAGTACAAGATGTAAAGTTGAGAGTACAAGATGTAAAGTAGAGAGTACAAGATGTAAAGTTGAGAGTACAAGATGTAGAGTAGAGAGTACAAGATGTAGAGTAGAGAGTACAAGATGTAGAGTAGAGAGTACAAGATGTAAAGTAGAGAGTACAAGATGTAAAGTTGAGAGTACAAGATGTAGAGTAGAGAGTACAAGATGTAGAGTAGAGAGTACAAGATGTAGAGTAGAGAGTACAAGATGTAAAGTTGAGAGTACAGATGTAAAGTTGAGAGCATGATGTAAAGTTGTGAGTACAAGATGTAGAGAGAGCAAGGAAGATGTAAAGTTAGAGAGTACAAGATGTAAAGCTGAGAGTACAAGATGTAAAGTTGAGAGTACAAGATGTAGAGTAGAGAGTACAAGATGTAGAGTAGAGAGTACAAGATGTAAAGTAGAGAGTACAAGATGTAAAGTTGAGAGTACAAGATGTAAAGTAGAGAGTACAAGATGTAGAGTAGAGAGTACAAGATGTAAAGTTGAGAGTACAAGATGTAAAGTAGAGAGTACAAGATGTAAAGTAGAGAGTACAAGATGTAAAGTAGAGAGTACAAGATGTAGAGTAGAGAGTACAAGATGTAAAGTTGAGAGTACAAGATGTAAAGTAGAGAGTACAAGATGTAAAGTAGAGAGTACAAGATGTAGAGTAGAGAGTACAAGATGTAAAGTTGAGAATACAAGATGTAAAGTAGAGAGTACAAGATGTAAAGTAGAGAGTACAAGATGTAAAGTTGAGAATACAAGATGTAAAGTAGAGAGTACAAGATGTAAAGTAGAGAGTACAAGATGTAAAGTAGAGAGTACAAGATGTAGAGTATAGAGTACAAGATGTAAAGTTGAGAATACAAGATGTAAAGTAGAGAGTACAAGATGTAAAGTAGAGAGTACAAGATGTAAAGTAGAGAGTACAAGATGTAAAGTAGAGAGTACAAGATGTAAAGTTGAGAGTACAAGATGTAGAGTAGAGAGTACAAGATGTAAAGTAGAGAGTACAAGATGTAAAGTAGAGAGTACAAGATGTAGAGTAGAGAGTACAAGATGTAGAGTAGAGAGTACAAGATGTAGAGTATAGAGTACAAGATGTAAAGTTGAGAGTACAAGATGTAGAGTAGAGAGTATAAGATGTAAAGTAGAGAGTACAAGATATAAAGTAGAGTAGAGAGTACAAGATGTAAAGTTGAGAGTACAAGATGTAGAGTAGAGAGTACAAGATGTAGAGTAGAGAGTACAAGATGTAGAGTATAGAGTACAAGATGTAAAGTAGAGAGTACAAGGTATAAAATAGAGAGTACAAGATGTAGATTAGAGAGTACAAGGTAGACAGTGGGGAATACAGTGTGTAGAGAGTACAAGGTAGACTGTAGAGAGTACAAGGCAGACTGTAGAGAGTACAAGATGTAGAGAGTACAGTGGGAGGATGGGTGTGTGAGGTAGCCAGCAGGACTCACGCCAACTATGTCTTGGACGTTTAGTCTATATCTGACCTGTTGCACATCATACCACAGAGCCGATACCTCTCACACT